TTGAGCAAATTTTTTCTATTAATTTCAATTAACCTTAATGAGAAAAAGTTGTTCTATTATCAGTGCTCAGTAGAATGCTACTCGTTAAGTGAAATAAAAATTAAAAGATTTTTGTTTTTTTCAATAATGTAAAGGAAAAATGGTCACAATTTAATATGAGTGTGGCCTCCTCCTGCCAAAATCACAACTTGTATTCTTCAAGGCATGCTTTCGAGGATATTGCTTATGACCTCTTGTGGAATATGTACCCATTCCACGGTGATGAGATTTTTTAGCTCCCTCATATTTTGTGGTGCTGTCTGCGCTGACCTTACCCGTCGCTTCAGAATATCTCAGACATGCTCTATTGGATTGAGGTCGGGACTTCAAGCTGGCCAATGTAAACGCCGGGTTCCAAGCTCTTGAATATACGCTTCCACATCGCCACATCGCCAGAACGGTGGGCGCGAACGTTGGCATCCATAAAAATGAAATCTTCTCCAAGAACAGTTAATGCAGGTTGTACGTGAGGAATTAGGATCTCCGTCATGTATCACGTCATGTATAATTTGTACTCCTCTCATTTCCTCAAGGTTCTTCTTGAGGTCCACGAGTGAAGCTTTGCGATTTCTCAACGCCAGGCTTACCAGGAAGCGGTCATCCCGTGGTTCGGGCATGGTTTTCTTCCAGAACCTGTCCTTCTATTGACGGCACTGGTCTCTTGACATCGTTATCAAGTTCTCTGAACTGTCGAACGAATCACATTCAGCCTCTGGTAAATATAACATTGAGAATGATTTTTTTCTAGCAGCGCTTTAATTTTGCTGGCTATTATTGTTTTGTCCACTTTTAGAGACCACTTATTAATGGTACCATGGTATGGTATTTAAAATGATGAATTAAACAAGATAACTTATCAAAATTCATTAAAAAATGATTAATTAGTTCATATGAACTTCCACCATTTTTCGCCGTTTTATGTAGTGAAGAGTAATTTTCTTGTAGACTATATTTTACTGTAGGTTTTACTATCAAGCCAGTGACATTTTTGAATGACTAAAACCTTTTTCGTATTGTAATTATTTCAGGCAGGGTTTTTTGCAAATGAGTTTATAAAGCTACAAGTTATAAGAAATAGACCGCATACTTTCCGATATTGTGGAAAAAGATATTTTTTACCGTTGTACCGCGGATAGACTCCAAAGCAAAGAATCAAATATGAGAAGATCTGAATGTAGAAAATATGAAATACTGATCAACGGTCTGCAAAAACTATAATATATGGAGGGAAAATTTGTGCATTTTTATGAGGTACACCCTGGTCAATTTCCGCCGGAAGTAGAAAATGTTTGAAATTCAAATAAATAAGATGGCCGCCATACTTGTTTGTTAACAAAATTTGTTGTTCGCTATTTTCAAATATGGCCGCCTTAGAAGCGTTCGTTGAGCAAAATTGCTCTGATTCCTTTGAAAATTAGCATGTGGGTGTCTTAAGAAGTGCTTGATAATAATTTATGATCAACATTAGTCTTTCGCCATTTTTCAATATGGCCGCCATACAAAATTTTTTGCGGCAGATAAAAATTTGCTCTAATTCGATTGAAAATGGACATATAGATGTTTAATAATAATTTGCAGTCAAAATTTACTTTTTGCCATTTCCCAATATGGCCGCCATTAAACTAGGTCAATTTTTTAAAACAAAGTCATAAGTACCGAGACCTTAGGAGGCGAGGTCCAGCGGAGGGCGAACCCAGAAGCGTCCGGACGCCACCGTAAGCAGGTAGCGTACGGAGACTCTATTACGAGTACAAGATCTCACAATTGCTCAAAATGTAAGGCATACTTGCCGATGTATTGGAAACGAGATACTTATACCGTTGTTGCATCTCTGTTAGATTCCTTTTTCTTGGAAGCTATGCCAATATTTAGGGGAATAAAACGCCAAATAATCACACCAAATTTCTAGTCTCAAATTAGGTTATTTCCTGTACTATGAGTACCAGAGTAACGATAACTCTGAGGGCAATACCCGGAATACCCTGACCAGAACCAACTTAAAAATGTTTGTTTCATAAATTGACCCAAATCGGGAATCGAATTTGGAACGTCCTCAACAAGCGCCCATAGTACTAACCGCTGTACCACCGAAGAGCATAAGCACACCCCGTATAATTGGTTTCAGGATTTGTACTATGAGGATACGGAACAACTACTCACTACCCCGATGTAATCAGCTCATATGTGAATTATTTTATTTTGTTTTAATTATTTCATTAATATAATAAATCCTCCACCATCCAATCCACCATCGCCATGCCAGCTCACCATCGCCGTGCCAGTTCACCACCGCCATGTCAGCTCAACATCGCTCTTCCAATTGTATTACTATTCCCTCGTCCACGCACACGCACATCATTACACGCACAACAATCACTCACCTACATACGTATATTTATGCATACATATATACACACATTTACAGACACACTTACACACAAACAATTTTAACCAAACTAACACGGCATAAAAAATATTTTTCCTTTTTATTTTTTCCTTTGTAAAATTTAGTATAAATAGATAACTTAGTAGTTATTCAATGCATAGACGCAATTTTCGATGTACGATTCAAAGTTGCAAATATTTTCCAAGGGGTGGAGTGACCTGAAATACATACCCTACGTCTAGTTTATGTGGTTTAGGCACCAGTCTCCCACTGTATAATTATTGTTTTTATGCAGTGTTGTTGATATTATGCATAATGTACCTATATTGTGGTGAGAAAATAAACAAACCAATAATTATTGTTATTATTTTGGGTGTGAATACGTTTCAATACAAAATCAAGTATCGATTAATTAATCGTTCTAGGTATATATCACTTTAAAATAACCTCACAACAACGAACTTTTGGTTCTAAGAAATTTTTAATAACTCCTACTAGAACTTTTCCACTGTATACGAATAGACAACAAATAATTACAGAAATGAAATTCCGCGCGTACTAGGTAACACCTACATGCCTACAATAATTCATCGCGGAGCTAGTATAAATTATACGAGCACAATCTTGCAGGGGGAATAGCAATTAAGCGGAGAACCTGGGTTATTTACTGACATATATAAAATATACTATGGGTCTTTGTTAGCGTGTTATGCCACTACAAAAAGTGGTCGATACACGCAGCTGTCGTTTGCTTTCTATAAACGGTAGACTGAATAATTTCATTAAGGCAACAAATTATTATACAGCTATAGGAGGCTTCCATTCTGTATACTGCCGTCCACTAACTACAACGCGGCTAAGTGATAAATAGATAGAGCACAATGATATAATTCTCTTTTAAAAACAATTATAATCTAATTAATAATATTTAATACTCTGTACTGAGGTACAGAGTATTAAAAAAACGGACCTCAAAAGTACGTGGAATTACGTCTATTTGCTAAGTTTTATTGAAATATTCCCTAGTTCGCCACTATACAGGACTTGACACTGGAGATAATAATAATCGGTTCTCACTACTCAAAGTACATTGAGAGAAAAACGCATTGAATTGGAGAAATAGCAAAATCAACCATTAAAATAATTGCTCCTAAATTAAAATTAGGCGCTATTTATAAAACTGAATGCGTGAACAGCCACCCTTAAAGATGGATGATTTTCTTCAAAATAAAATGGGACCACTATGGAAGTACCCCCTTTCCAACAAAAAAAGAATCATGAAAATCGGTTCACAAATACCGGAGTTATCGCGTAACATACAAAAAAAAAGAATATACAGTCGAATTGAGGACCTCCTCCTTTTTTGAAGTCGGTTAAAAATTAGCTAACGTGTTCGATTTAAATTTTAAATCATTAAACAATTTCAATATTATGAAACTGGGTTATCGTTTTTTATGATATCACAAAAAATATTTTGTCTCTTGGCCGCGTTTTAATTAGCGGACGGCAGTATATAAATCAGGACACTAAGGAGCCAACATTTCAAAATATATATTATTTATATCTCGCCTTTAATAATAATGTCGTGTTGTTCTCTTGTTTATGTTCATACAACACCTGAGAAATATGTAATTCCCAAACAGGGTGAACAGACTTATACAGGGTCTCCCACGGCTATGGATACGAAGGGAAAGGGACATTAAATATTGTAGATATTTTGCTCCATGAAGACATTATTTTATTTTTAAATGTAAGTAATATTAGAAGCGATTTGAAGATCCATCAATTTAAGATACTATGTTACATAGATTAATGCTTATAATTGATACTTTCATACTTTTACACTCTATGTTATGTTACATAGATACTATGTCCGTCGTCGTCAACGTGATGTATCGTCCCAATTGTACTTCATCATCATCGTCCACAGCCTGATTTCACCCGTTGCTGAGCATAGGCCCCCCAAAGTTGATGCCATCCACCACGGTCCGCCTGTACTTAACAGGAGTTAATTCTTGTCATTGACCCTTTCAATCGATAAATATAGGTTGCTTTTTTTCACATTTGGTCGGTTTGATTATCAGACGAGGCAACTTTGAAGTCTTTGAAATTACTTCCTTTTAAAAACAAAATAATGACTCCATGACATAAAATATCCAATCTACAAAAATACTTACTTTCACACCGTGGAACACCTGTGTATATATAATACATATACTATATAATACAATACAAAATGTCTTTATTGTACACCAAAAAACGGAAACAAATACAATACAATTAAATTAAAAATAAGCGGTGGTTTGTGGTTGTCCATGTGTGTATCCATGGCACCCGCGATGCAGGGTTTTTTCCTGTTGCAGGGCTATGAGTGTGTGCATTAGTTAATTATTATTAATGTTCTTATTATTACTTCATTAAAATAAAATAAATTTTCTCCACGCCGACAAATTCATAGGCGTACGTAGAAAAATAGTCGCCAGTGACAGCGCGGTGCCGAGGTTCAGCTTACTGCCAAGTGACATTCAACCTTTATAAACCAACCTCTTGATTGTATATTTATGCTTGTGGACAGACGTACCCGGAAGAACATGGAGGGCGACGCGATCGCGCTCCACCAGGACTCTTCACCTCCATCAAACTGCCAGAAGCGGAGCCCCCAAACGGAGTTGCGCCCCTGCTGGACTTCCCGCGGGGGCGCATAAGACCAGTTACTTTGCTAGGGGAAGGCCCTCATGGCACTGTAAGTACTTTTTCTTGTACAACGAATTCGTTACGAAAATACGAAATCGAAGCGGAGAAGATTTCTCCGCTATATATTCGAGAATTAATAAAAATAAACTACTATCACATACACATACACATACACTATGAAATTGCCGGTCTAAGTTACTGTCCACTCTCTCTCCTCTTAATATTTCGCATAATTGTTTGCTGTCAAAAATTACACGTTTTCAGGGTCCGAAACCTGGAATCGACAAACGCAACACATATAACCACTGACGAGTATTTTATTCACAAATGAAACTCTCTCAACAAACAATTCTCTTTAACCGATTTCAATAAGAGGAGGTTCTCAATTTAACTATATATTTTTTAATGTGTGTTTGGGTATGTTACGAGATCGCATATCAGTACGCTCTACAAAAAAGTAGTGGTTCATTCGTGGTTCAATTCACTTTTGAAAGTAATATTCCACCTCTAAAAGCGGCAAATTGGGGGGATGAATCCGGTTTATTGGATTTCACCACTTTCCGTTAACCGATGTCAATAAAACTTGGCAACTAGATGTAATTCCAATAAGCTAAAATGTTGTAGTGACTTAGACTACATAACACCTCTATGGCCGAACCATAGATTTAGTAGTACTAAATCTATGGGCCGAACGGTTACCATGCCGGACTGCCACGCAAAGTTCCCAGGACGATTCCCGGGCCGGGAGAAATATTTGTATAGCCTACATTTAGTTCTCGCGTAACTTGAAGTGGAATTTGTGTGTGCCCATGGCATCCGCGACACAGGGTTTCCCTAGTGCGGGTCTATGTTGAGTGTGTGCGTTATATTGAGTGTGTGCGTAATAAACATAGCTGATCTGTTGATGACAGACAGATCTGATGAACTTGTCAACAGTGTACAGAACCTACCTTGTACTTGGGCTCATATTCGTTTTGACGAGGACTATCCTTCCATATGCGTTTTAGTTACACTTAAGGACCACGGTAACGAACAGCGAAAGCAGATACGCAAACTTGAGGTCGGTTTCACGTTTATTAAGAAGTTATAATTATTTACAATAACAAAAAATTAAGTTTGCAATAATTAAGTTTGTGTTATGGTGAAACCTTTGATATTCTTTCAAGCTTAGTGGACAAGTCCGATTCACATTTGGCCAACTTATTTAATTTACTTTTGTTTTAGTTTAAAAAATCCATTTTGCGATGTACGCCTTAGTTTTTAGTTTTAGTTTAATAACAAAAAACAAAGTGTAATAGTAAAGTAACAATTTCAAAACCTATTCTAAATATTCTAAAATACATTCGAACCGTTCCATAGCCCTGAATGGTAGGTATGAGAAACTCGTAACTTTCTAATACTTAGTTACCATTTTGTAAATCATTATAAAATTTAAATTTTTTTTTATTTGACCTCCATCTCACCTGATCGAAATATACGTGAAAAAGGTATGGTATAATTAGGTATGTATAACGCCTAGTCACTTTCGCCTTGGAAAAGCCCAAGTAGTAGTGGAAAAGCGCAAGAAACAAATCTGCAGGCAGGAAATTCCACTAAAAATGTTCAACTATACCATATAAATTTTCAACATTTAAAAGCGATTAGGTAGTCAAAAGACAAGAATTTAATAAATTAACTATTTCTGTTGTAACTAAATAGTAATCAGTTCCAATAAGGGTCACGGAAATCATCTTCGAAGTTCTGGATTGGATCGGGGGTTGGCTTCGAGGTGACTGCCGAAGTATCAGGAGTAGTATCCGTCTTGTTAGGAGTCTTTTTTACAGTGGTCATCGTCATATGATCTTCTAGAGGTTGTAACGTCTTGACTTCAGACGATGAACGAATGATATTTTCAAAATCATCAGGTGTTAAAGCATCGTCGGTATGCCCAAACGCTACAGTTTGCAATGCTTTCTTCTTGCTTTCAACATTACTAGAGACTGTCTTCGCTATAAACAAATAAATTTAAAGGATCTAGAGTCGGAAAAAAGGACTTGGACACTAACGGTACTTAAATTATAACAACATCCATAGTTTATGTAGTGAAAGGACTGGACCAACTCACAAAAGTTACACATTTGTTAATGAGAATGGGAAATGCCTGGACGTGTCTTGTTGAGGGTAATTTAAGCATATTACGTCACATCTCAAGTTAAAAAAAAAGAACAACTCAATAAAATGCTATAAAAATATATTATTTACCTTCGGGGGAAGACCCTCCTCGCAAACGTTTAAACAAGTCCATTCTTGTGAGTGGTTTCGCGTTTATTAATATTATTTCAAATAATTCATATTGATTAATCCAGATTTATTTGCTTTTTCTTCTTCTTTCGTTTATTGGCTTTGTTAGGATTTCGCCAGCCGTCAAGTTTGTAAAAATAGGTAATACATAAAATTACGGCAAACGTCGCCAATGTCAAGTTTTCTACCTTCTAATTTTTTTTTACCAAGTAGTATTTTATACGTTCCGACGACACGCGTTTCAGGAACGCGCGTTTAGTGAATCGATTCAAACGCGCACAAACATCGCGTTGCTAGCAAGAAGCTCATATACTCCACTGGAGTTTACACTTAGAATATCATGTAGTTGTTTCATTATAAAAAACTAACTGAAATTAACAAACAAAACTAAAAGTAAAACTATCTCGTTATCAAAATGCGCGATACATACGCTCGGCTACAGCGCGTCTGCGGCGCGTATAAAATGTGCATAAGCTCCAAATCGTTTGATACTGTCTAGCTGTCAAAATCTATAATATTTTTTATTTTATTTATTTTATTTATTAATGGTAAACTAGAAGTATATACATTTATATTTCTAAATTAAACAATGAAGTAAGCTAAATAAGTTTACACTTGTAGAAATAAAGTAACTTAAATAAGTAAGCACTCTAATAAAAAAATCAACAGAAATAGAATTTTACAATATAACTATTAAGTTTATCCTAAGAAATAAAAAAGACTTTCCTAAGAAATAAAAAAGAAGTCGCTGAGTAATTTTCTCGCTGTGACAATTTTGGTATTAAAGATATCAATATCTATTTTATTAACTATGTTATTGATGTTGTTGCAAACTCGCAGCAGAAACGAATTTTTTCTGTAATTGGTTGAAGCTATAGGTATGTCAAATACTTTGTTAACCCTGAAATTACGTGTGGGAGTCAAAAAGTTGAGTTTGTATAGTAATTCGGGACAATCAATTATATTTTGAGAAATTTTTAGAATGTATGCGCAATCGGCTATTTGACGACGCATGTAGAGGGGAAGAATGTGATGAATTTTACAAATGTGCAGGTAATCATTATTATGATATTGTCGCTTAGTTCGGAAACATAAAAAACGAATGAATCTTTTTTGAATACGTTCTATACGCGAAATGTACACCTCATATTGCGGGTTCCAGATCTGTGACGCATATTCCAGAATACTGCGAACAAACGTACAGTACAAGATTTTAACTGTCTTAATATCCCGAAACTCGCTAGACCGACGCATTATAAACCCCAGCGCACGTGATGCTTTGGTCACCATTCTGTCTATGTGCGCATCAAACAGAAGTTTATTGTCGAATGTGACACCCAAATCACTAACTATGTTTTCTCGTTTAAGTACCTGGCCGCCAAGTTTATAATTAAAGACTAAGAGATAGTTTTTGCGACTGTAGGTTACTATTGAGCATTTGGCAGGATTTAAGTCGAGCTTATTGGAAATACAGTATTCCTCCAGTATCAACAAGTCAGTTTGGAGAGCCTCAGCATCAAAGTTGGTTGAAATTCTGGAGTATATTTTCATGTCATCGGCAAAACATAGCAGGTTACTAGATGTCAAACATAAGTGAATATCGTTAATAAAAATAGTAAAAAGCAACGGTCCTAGTAAAGATCCCTGGGGCACGCCGCTTGATATTTTAGCCCAACTAGAAATATAATTGCTGACAACAACTGCCTGAGACCTATTGTCAACATAAGAAGCAAACCATCGTAGAAGGTTGCCACGAATCCCAAGTTTGTTAATTTTTGAGAGCAGTATGAGGTGATCTATGCGATCGAAACATTTGCTGTAATCAGTATAGATCACGTCAACCTGGTCCCCGGCTTCCATTGATGCTGATATGAAATCATTTATCAAGACTAAATTAGATGTTGTTGACCTACCCCTAATGAACCCGTGCTGAGACTGTGAAAGGTTAGTTTTAATTGATTCAAATAGTTGTCTGTAAATTATTCTTTCAAAAATTTTGGATATGATGCAAAGTTTCGATATGGGGCGATAATTAATAACTTCAGTTTTGGAGCCCTTTTTGTGTATGGGGGTAACATAAGCGCATTTCCACACCGACGGTACTGTACAGGAGGAGATGGAGTTCTTAAATAAAATGGTTACGGGGACAGAAATCGAAGAAGCTACTTTAATTAGAAAATACGCGGGAAGATTATCAGGTCCAGCTCCTTTGGAAATATCTAATTTAGAAAGGAGCTTACACACTTCACTGACATCTATTTCCACATGAGAGATATGCGCAGACGAAAGTTCGTCGCTAGAATAAAAAGTTCTTAGCAAGATGTCAACATCAGTATTGTCTTTCGGTAAAAAAGATGTGGAAAAATAATCAGAAAATGCTTTTGTGATAGATTCACCGGTATTAACTATTTTACCTTCATATGACAGGCTACTAGGCATTGTATTACATTTGGAGCGGGATTTAATATGCGACCAGAAGTGTTTGGGATTGTTGGCAATCGAAGATTCAGTATTATGAATATAATTCTCATAACATTTAATAGAAAATATATAAGTCTGCCTGTCTATGAATCATTATTTAATGCTTAAAGTATGGAAAAAAAATAATGGAAATTTTATGCCAGTCTGGCGGAAGAGCCATTAAAAAAGATGAAGCCATTTATCAAAACACTACTCGTAAAATATAGGCCGTTTCCTCATATTCCTACTGGGTACTCCACACATACAAAAAGCTTACAAAATATAGTGTTTGTACTTTTCCATTAAAGGAACCTATCTAAAACTTTTACACACATATTGTAAATTAGTAAACGGTTTTTTACTTTACAATGCTACTAAACCTATCACGTGTGTTAAAGACACACAGAGTCCGTAACAATTTAGGACAAATAAAAATTAATTTCAATTAACCGTGACCATGGGACCTGTAAAGGTCCCCAAACATTGGTTTGTTTGAAAAAGCACATATACGTGATTTAAATCCAAAAAAATAGTTTCATTTCCTAAATTCATAATTTTTATATTTTTTTGTAATGGTGTATGAAAACACAGCTGCGTGTTAGAGACACCGGTGTCTCTAGAACGCGTGACTGGTTAAGTCAAAATAAAATGTTAATATACAATAATATCTACATAATATCAGTACAGAGTAGATACCTAGTAGTAGAGTACTCAAAAACCGACCTCCAAAGTTCGTGGATCTATTTGCCAAGTTTTATCGAAATTGGTCACCGGAAGCAAAGTGCGTGAAACCAGATTCATCCCCTAGTTTGCCGCCCTTAGAGATGTGGAATATGTTCTTCAAATTACCCTCAAACCTTCAAAGGTACCGTCTTGCCATCAAAAAAGAATCATTAAATCGATTCACAAATGTCGGAGTACTCGCATAACATACATACAAAAAAAAATACAGTACAAATAAGGACCTACTCCTTTTTTGAAGCCGGTTAAGAAATTCAATAACCTATACAAATACAATTATTTGCTATCCATAAATAATGCACCAACAATAACTTAAGTAACAATAACAGTAACTTAATCTTATACTTATAAAATAATATTAGCAGTTTTTACAATCTTCTTAAAAAAACGCGAAATCATTTGAGCAGCATTACTGTTTGTTAAACGACGATATGTATTTAACGTGTTCAACTTTTATATACATATTTATATTTAATGAAATCAAACAATAAGAGATTTTGTTACAAAAAATAGCACTATTTTCATGTTAATTACCGATTGTGGCAATCATTATTTTAATGCTGAACATAATGGATAATCTGAAGATATATTATTTCTGTATCGGGCGGTGGCTTGTGGCTTTTACCTTCGTATTTTAACGAAAACCACCTATTAAATTATATATCAAATAAAAACTTAATTCTCAGTAACTGTTTATTTCGTTTTTGCGTGTATCTCTA